TGAATCTATGAATCTATGAATCTATGAATACTGCAACCACATCCTCTGCCTTTGGAAACTAAAAGTTTGTTTAAAGGTTTTCAGTTCAGTTTTGCAAACCCAGCATTTTCACTTCCTAGACATGGATCCTCACAATCCAACATTGCAGTTGCAACCTTGAATTTTCTCCTTCTGAAGGACGAGTGACTGATCACGTCTAATTTTGTTTTCAATAACCAAGGGAAAGAGCAATCATTAAAGAGACATTGGAAACAGAAAACAAAGCTTTAAAATGGCAAAGGATCTCACTCCCTAGAAAAGAAGCTAGTTCAAGATGGTAGCCAGGAATTCACACCTCCAGCAAAACAATGCAGGATCCTGCACTAAACATCTCTTGGACCACCAACCTTTGTAATGAATGTATAGATTAAGTATTTTTTTAATTGATGTGAAATAGGCATGAGGCTTTTATTACCATTGGTGACAACTATTTGACCTGTTTGCTGCTTAGCCATAATTAGGAAATATACGTCCATTGAAAGCCTAAATAAAGATGTCACAATGTCTGCAAAGTTGTATGTTTCTGCACTGGAAGTAGCTGGAGAAATTCAAGATTTTAGTACAGAATGTTTTATAGAATGGCAAGTTGTGTCCTCTCTGAATATCACTAATTAATGTAAATGTCAAATAAAATAGTGAGTGGTGTTTTAACTCACCTAACTCCATCAATTTCTAACCAGTCCTTATCACATTTATTGGACCCTGGAGACTTCTCTTGAATTTGTATGACAAGGATTTTTAGTGATAACTTATATCCAGGCAGAGGTGCCTACAATCAAAGTGTTAAAGAAAATAAACAAAAACAAAACAAAACCAAGCAGTTGATGCATTCTGTTCTATTACCTCAAAATCAAATGGACAGGCATTAATAAATCACATTCCCATCATCAGATTATAGAAGAAAATACCACCTCCACCTACTCCCAGCAATAGGTAAGAAAGGTATGTAATAAAAAGGAGATTTCCTAAGGCATAAATTGCAGTTAAGCACCCAACTCCTTTGGGAGCTAGAAGCCCAACCACTATTTGTGTCTTTGAAATTTTCCTCCTAAACCCTTACAGTTAACAGTACTGGTGCATAAATAGGGCCCTACTAAATTAACGGTCTATTTTGGTCAATTTCACATCCATAGGCTTTTTTTTTTAAAGTCAATTTCACAGTTTCAGATATTTACATCTGAAATTTCACAGTGTAATAACCATGGGAGTCCCGACCCAAGAGAGGGTTGTGGGGTATCACAAGGCTATTGTAGGAGGATCGTGGTATTGCCACCCTTACTTCTGTGCTGCTGCTGACAGAGGCGCTGCCTTCAGAGCTGGGCAGCAGGCAATGCAGAACAAGGGTCACATGGTATTGTGGGGGAGGTCATCACTTTTTTGGGGGGGGCAGGGCCAGCCTTATGGGTGGGGCGACAGTCCAGGGCCCTGTTGTCGTGGGGGGAGGTGCTGTGGTTCCCCCCTGCAAACACTGCCAGCCCAAGGCCCCTTTAACCACGAAGCCCTGGATCTGGAGCCAGGGAGGAGCAAGGATGTGGCAAGGGTGCCGGAACCTTTGTAGAAGTGGGGAACCACCAGTGTCGGAACCAGGGGGGGCCAGGAGCCATGCCTCTCCTCCCCCCGCAAACTGCAAGCCTTGCACAGGCTCAGAGAGGCACTGGCAGAGGCTGTGTGCCTGCCCGAGGCTTGCAGTTTGGGGAAACAACATTGCCCCATCCCCCCAAACTATGTCCATGTTAAAAAAGGGGGGGCATGGCCCCCAGTGCCCCCAGTTCTGGCACTGTTGGCTAGGGACGCTCCAGCGGGGGATCCTACCATGTGCTGGGCTCCAGCTGCTAATCCCAGCCGGGTCAGACCCACCTCCGTGAACCT